TGTTCATTATAATATATTTTTCTGCAGAAGAGCATTTTCTTTTTGCTATAAAACACTACTTTGTCTTTTCCCTGTTAATTGCCTTTTACCAATATTGAAAAGTCTGGTCCTTATATATAACTTTAAAAATTGTCTGGTCACACTTTAGCTGGTTTGGCTCAGTGGATAGTGCATCGCTCTGCGGACTGAAGGGTCCTGGGTTCGATTCCGGTCAAAGACACATGCCCAGGTTGTGGGCTCAATCCCCAGTAGGGGGAGTGCAGGAGGCAGCCGATCAATGATTTTCTCTCATCAGTGATATTTCTATCTTTCTCTCCCTCTCCCTTCTTTCTCTGAAATCAAAAATGTATAGTTAATAAAAAAAAAGTTTGGTCATGATCAATACAGATAGGAGGACATTGAGGGCCATCTAAATGATGTTTATGTACCTAAGTATATTACACTAATAATGATTTTCTATATTTTTAAGAAAGAAAATTTCAGATTTCTGTCAGATTCTGATCTGTTCATTTGTACTAGTCAATTAGTTAAAATCCTACAATATTTAAAGGCATAATTTGCAGGTTTCCTCTTATGTACATAATCCTGGCAATTTTCACATTTTGTATAAAATAATTCTGACCTTTCTGCGTATTTCCCTCACACTTTCATTTCGTATCCTTAACACCTATATTTCAGAAGGATTATGAAAACACGGAGGAAGTGTGTCAGCTGAGGACCCTGGTAAATAACTTGCGAGAGTTGATCACATTGCACAGGAAATACAACTGCAACTTGGCCCTCTCTGATTTTGAGAAGGTAAAGGTCTAGGTTTATCCGCGTTACTTTGTACCGCAGCCAGGATGAGTAAAGTTTTTGTTTATACCGTCTTTTTGGGCACCCAGGAGAATACTACCACCATTGTGTTCCGAATGTTCGATAAAGTGTTGGCGCCAGAACTTATTCCTTCCATCTTAGAGAAGTTCATAAGAGTTTACATGAGGGAACATGATCTGCAAGAGGAGGAGCTCCTTCTCCTGTACATAGAGGTAACTTTTTCTTACTTCCAGGCTGCTTTCTTGCATCTATGCAGTCTGTGTATGATTGCATTCAATTTTAATACGATGTATTATTAAGTCCTCTGAGTTAAACATTTAATGCTTTACGGTTAGGATTTGTGCAGATTATTGGTTAAGAATGTGGGTTAACTCTGTTATTGATTGACTGGTAATCTTGAACAAAACAGGATAATATTAGGGCTTTTTACAAATGGTTACTGTGAGATAATAGGAACATGAGCTCTATAAATATTAGCAGTTATTTTTTTGTAGACATTAATGAGGTGCAGTAATCTTATTTATAGATTCTTCAAGAATGTTTCCTTCCTAAGTTTTCTGTACCATGTAAAACTGAAGGCTAAGTTTTAGCAATTTTGTATTTTTTTACCATTGCTAAGTAGAAGTTTTTGTTTTTTTCACACATCCATCAAAGTTATTTATATCTGTATGTGTGTTTTACTTTTCTGTTGTTGTTTTAGTCAGAGTTTTAAATTGAAAAGTACATGTGCTTATCCCTCGTTAGGACTTATTGAAGAGATGCAGCTCCAAGTCCACATCACTCTTTGAGACAGCGTGGGAAGCAAAAGCCATGGCGGTCATAGGGTGTTTGTCTGACACAGACGTGAGTACGTGGTGACCACGCAGTTTCCTTTTCAGCACTGCAGGTTTTCTGAACACTTACTTTCTCGTCACAAGAGAATTTGTGTAGAATGGAAAAGGAATAGGAATAATTAAAAAACCACCCATCGTTCTATTTTTTTAATTATGAAAATGAAAAGGGAACATTTTCTTATTCCCACCCAAGAAGAACCACCATAGACAATTGGATGCATGTGGTTTCTCAAACATAGAGAAATTTGAAAAATACATTACAATATGCCTGGATTTCTACTTCACTGTTATTAAGCACCATTATAAAATATGAATAAAAAAACTCATGAAAAAATATTTTTAAACACAGTCTGTAGAAAGTAATAGAGTTATATGACTTAATTTCCAGCAGAGAGAATATTTTTTTATATTTCATTGATTTTTTTACAGAGAGGAAGGGAGAGAGGGAGAGTTAGAAACATCGATGAGAGAGAAGCATCGATCAGCTGCCTCCTGCACACTCCCTATTGGGGATGTGCCCGCAACCCAGGTACATGCCCTTGACCGGAATCGAACCTGGGACCTTTCAGTCCGCAGGCCGACGCTCTATCCGCTCAGCCAGACCGGTTTCGGTGAGAATATTTTTTTAAATACTAACATTGCCCTTTATGTGTGAAAATCGGAAGGAAGGTATACTTTTGCAGTCATCCAGTAGATGACGGACCTCTGCTGTAGAGAAGGCAAGGTCATTAATTTGCATGACCCCCAGGCTACTCACTGCCCCGTGTGTGTCTCTGTAGCTCATATTCGACGCTGTGCTTAAGATAATGTACGCAGCTGTGGTTCCCTGGAGTGCAGCGGTGGAGCAGCTGGTGAAACAGCACTTGGAAATGGACCACCCCAAGTAAGACTGCAGCCCACCAAGCAGCTTTGTTGGTGTTGGATAAACCTCGTGTGTTGAGTTGACAGTCGTTTCTGGTGTTCTGCCCTTTACCGTGTCCCCCTGGTATTTCATAAAAGCAGATAAA